TCCGGGGTGGGGCGAGGGGGCTCCGGGCCGGGCAATGGCTCAGGGGAGAGTGGGGGCTCCGGGGTGGCCGGGGGGCCTCTGCGGCGCTGGTGGCGGCTGGGAGCTCCGGCCCCGCGTGGCGCGCTCCCGCGCGCACCGCCTCTCCAAAGCTCCAGTGGCGGCCGGGGCGGGGGCGCCAGGGCTTCCGGAGCCGGCTGCCCCCACCCCTGGGGAAGGAGGAGGAGGAGGAGGAGCCGGGCGTGGACGGAGGGGCTGCGGGGGCGGGGCGGGGGGGGCGGTGGCGGCGATCTGTCCCGGCGCCGCGCGCTTGGCACTTTCCGAAGCGGTAACTGGGGCCGGCCGGCGTCCACGGCCTGAGGCCTGCGCCTAGGACGGAGGACCTGCGTGGGGGGGAGGGGGGTCTTGAGGGCGCAGGTCCGAGGGGTCCAATGCCGCCCCCCCCCCCCACAATGGGTCTGCAGCACCGCGCTCGAGTCGGCTGGGACCGGGAGGCGAGATGCCACCCAGACCAATGGAGGGGTTTGGGAGCCCTGACGGCAGAGCCCAGCTGCGGCCTCTGGCCTCCGAGACCCTCCCCATCTCAGGGCTCCCGCCAGGCGGTGAACGCCCCTGGCCAACCCATCCTTGCCTCTCTCTGGAGGCTTGGGCTGGCAACTCTGTGAACTGTCACTAGCTTTCCTGCAGACGTCCAACTGATTTCCCGGTCTGTGGGCCCTGTGCTGGCTCCCGGTGAGGGACAGCTCTTCGGGAACTCACTCTCTAGTGGCAGGCAGGGGTAAACCTGCCCTCAGGGCAGGCCAGCTGCTCTGTTGGGGCTGGGAGTCCCTATGTAACGCCCCCCTCCCCCAGGTCCTGGCAGACAAGGGCAAGTTCGGAAGGGGGCGGAGACGGAGCAGGGAGGGAGGAGATTCCTTTCTCATTGTATTAAATCTGTGTATAATTCACAGGAATGGGACTCAGCACTCACACAATGATTTCCGTACAAGTTGAAGGGTTTCTTGCCTGCCCCTTCAGCTGGATCGGCGAAGCCCACCTCTCTGGCCTCTCCGGCAAATGGTACAGCCTCAGGTCAAGCCAGGTCTGCTCAAGGGAAGATCTGCGGGCAGTGCCTGTGAGCCCAGCTCCATGTGGAAGATATGGGGGCCACAAAGGCAAAGTAGACCAGACACTGCCCCCGCGGACCCCGCTGGGGAGAGACTTTGTGTGCCTTTAACCCAACGGAGCTGTGTGCTGGGATGTGCCCTGGGGACAGTCACTGGCCACTGAGGCAGGAGAGGCTATTATCTGGGGCTCGTCCCCTCCCCTAGAGTTTCTTCTGTTTCCTGTAGTGGACACTGTCTCACCTCTGCAGACGCACGGCTTTCCCACCAGCTTAGATCCCAACACGGACAGCCACTTCTCTCGTTCCTCTTACCAGAACCTGGTTTTTTAAAGACTGTTTACAGTAGCTCCAGCCACTGCATGCACCTGGGGGCACATATATTGGGTAGTCAGAGAATCTCAGGATTAATCAATAATATCTGTATGGGTGCCAGCATAGATCAGAGAATCCAGAATAGATTAGTAATGTCTGCCACGGGTGCTGGCATAGAGAGCTAGGATACGTGTGTTTCCATAGGCTCCTTGAAGGGTAAATGTCAGCTGGTCCCAAATGGGCCTCACACCTGAGGCTGGAGCTCCCAGAGCAGAAGGAATGAGGAAGCGAGAAAGAGCACAGCTGGATTCCATGGGTCAAGTTTAGCAGCAGTCAGCCCTGAGCCAAGGTTGTCTGTGAGGGTTTGGCCCCGTGAAGTAGCTGGGAAAACCCAGGAGCCCCTGGGAAGGTCCACAGGCAGTTTGGACCTTGGACTAAAGGGAAAGAGAAGGAGCAGGTCAGGAAGCCCCTGGGCCTCTTCACAAAGCCACGGCCAGCCCGAGGGACACTGTGGGGGCTGCTGGCTCAGCCCCCGGCCCGGGAACAGGACCCAGGGAGGCTCCGTACCCCTTCTGTTCAAGGCCCTTCCTTTGTTTCTCACCGGCTCACCCTTGTCCATGCTTAAAGAGGCAGTGGGACTGTGTTGGGAGCTGGTCCCGAGGCTCCCACCCCAGCTCTGGCCTCCCGGCCATCTGAGGGCAGCAAGTGACCCCCCTGCTCCCCAGCCTCAGGTGCAGATAGAGCATGTGCTGTGCCCGGCACGGTGTCAGCAGTGAGAACATGCCAGCGCCCAGCCCCTGCCGTCTCCCCCCCAGAGACCACGGCCGCCCACCTGAGCTCTCAGAGCACCACCCACCCCCTGCCCCCAGCCAGGCCTCCTGCTCCCTGCACTGTACTCGCCCTGTCATGTGTCCCCAGGCTGGTCCTGGCCATAGAGATGAAGCAAGCTCTTACCCATAAATGTCCTCTGTGAGCCTCTGAATCATCATTCTTGAAACTCTGTCTTGGAATTTGCTCTGTGGCCCCCAGTTGAGTGTGTCAAGCAGGGAGGCTCAAGGCTGGGGGGGTGCGGGGCTGCTGTGGAACGTCACTTCCCTGGGAACGCTCCTGAGTTCAGCTGGCTCACACATGGATCAGATTTGGGCCCAACATCCTCTGCCAGGGAAAATAGAAACCGTAAAAAAAAATTAGAAAGGAATAGAAAGAAACTTTTCCTCAGCCACAGTGAGTCACCAATGGGAACATGAGCAAAAGCCTCATAGGGAGCTGGGCAGGGGGTGGGGGCGGGGAGTTGGGGGCTCTCTGCCCCCAAGTGTCCGAGCAGGTGGAGAGCAGGGTGACTGCTGTCCAGGCCGGGCCAGGAACCCCTGCTCCGTGGGTGGGGCTGGGACCCCACTTCACTTTCAGACGTGCACCCTGGAAAGTCCTAGAGCTGGGCCCAGGTTCTGCCTGGGGGCAGGGAGGCAGCCACAGGGCCTGTTAGGGGATCCCTGTCTGCTGAGGAGCACGGCAACTAACCAGACTCCCCAAGGGCAGCCCAAAGCAGGTCCAGGGGAGTGGGAGGCTCGTGGCCTCCTGTGGCTGCCATTCACCCTTTCAGGGCCCAGTGCCTCCTGCTGGGCGGGAGGGGGGTATCGGTGTGCATGGCCAAGGGCTCTTGGGAGCTAGTGGGGGTCTGTTGGACCCCCTGGCCTCTGCACCCCCACCTCCAACTTCCTGAGAGAAGCCAGGGCCTTCCCCTCGCTCCCCGGAAGGATCTGCCCAACGGGCCACAGCAGGACCGGGCTTGCCAGGGAGAGGGAGACTGATCTCTCAGCCTGGTAGGCCCACTCTAGGTGCCTCCAGAGAGAGGAAAGAGAGTTCCCGGGAGAACCTGTGGGCCGATGGTTAGTCCTCGGGAGAGAGAGCTGGAGGGGCTCTCCCCGCCCACGGTCAGGAGCGGGGACCCTCAGAGGTTAGCAGCAGCCCCATCTTGGAGGAATGGGCCAGTGCAGAGCCCTGCAGGCTGCCGTGGAGGGCCAGGGGACATGTAGGCAAAGCTGCCAGGTGGGGGGCACCAAGGCCACGTTGCCCATTTCAGTAATGCCCCCTGCCCCCAGCAGGGGGCGGCGGGGGAGCCAGGAGCTCCCACATCGGAAGGGGTGAGGAGGTGGAGAAGAATGGGAAGGAATGGAACCCACCCTCTTTCCAGTCTGCTGGGGCCCATCCCACAGGGACGGGGAGGGAAGATGCTGTGGGTAGGGCAAGGAACGGAGGCTTTGTTTTAGCTCCGGCTGGCCTTCAGAGGAGGCAGCTCTACTCCTTGCGGTGAGGAGACCCCAGGATGGGCCTGGGGCAGGAGGGAGAGGAGATTTACCCCCTCCTCCCACCATCCCAGAAGTCAGTCTTAGAACTGTGACCTCGAATAATTCCGTCGACTTAGTCTGTAAGAGGAGGGTGGCTCAGGACCCCTGGGGCCCCTGCCCCAAGGGAAACAGCCTGAGGAGCAGGGTTAGTATCTGCAGCCTGGTTTGGGCCTTGGGAAGTGTGAGGGTCACTCCCCCACCCCCCCACCTTGGCCCTGTTCCCTCCACCCACCAGACCTCAGGGTTCCTGCTTTCCAAATGTGGTCACCGGAAGCACTAGAGAATGCTGGTGGGGGGCCATGGGGTGGGGGTTGGGAGGCCTGGGGGGGAGGCAGGGCGGAGGCCCTCTACTGGCCCTTCTGGGGAAGAGCTGAGCTCTGGGCCAAAAGATGTCCCCAGGCCAGCCAGCCAGCCACCCCAGCAGGAGACCGCAATCCCCCCATGTGGTTGCGGCCGCAACGTCCACAGTCTCATCGCCCTCCACCTCCTGGTCTCCAGCCCACAGCGCCCCCCCCCTGGTGCCTGCCCCCGCACCTTTGGGCCCCCAGGCAATTTGTGCATGCCTCTGTGGCCGTGGCTCCCGGACTGGCTCACTGGCTCCTGGAGCTGTCAACAAGCTGCCAGCCTAAGCATGGCCCAGAGAGCCAGCAGGCCTGGAGGCAGCCTTCCTCTGGAGACCGTCAGGCTGGAGGGCACCGGAAGTCAGTGACTGGACCATCCACGGACAGAGGGCGAGGGGAGGGCAACGACCGCGGGGAGACAGAGTCCTGGCCTGTGGGGGAAAAGGCAGGGGGGATCTCAGTGGGGGAGACTCGAGCTGCCCCAGGCCTGGACTCCCCCCTGGTCAGGCACCCAAGTCTCTGGACCTGGACGTGGATGGCAGACGGGGAAGTGATTCATACTTGTCCAGCAGGCCACCATCTCTCCCCATT